GTCCCACCGTGGCCGGGGTGAGCTCCCGGTCCTAGTCCCAGCTCCAGCCCACCCAGCGGTTCAAAAGCCTTAAGCAATTAGATAAATTGGGTACCTACTCACTAGGAGTGGGGGGGCACCCTTCTCTCCCTTGACTGAAGTTCCATGGCGACGGCGACAATGGCAGGCTGGCGAGCGGGCTGTGAGGAAGATGGCGGCGACAGCAGCGAGGCAGCAAGCAGGAGCGATCGGCCCCGGAGGATGGCGCGGCAGTGACGTGAGGCGAAGGCCGGCTGACTGGAGGGGTGCCGAGGCGCGGCAAGATCGTGTGCTGCCGTAACCGGGAGGTGTCGCTGCTGAAAAGATGGAAAGATCTGTGCCTGCACCAGAAAGACCTGAAGACCTGCGTCGGTAACATCGCCAGTACCAACAAAAGAATCCGTCGGGGGGAAAAGCTAAGAAGAAAAGATCCTGCCTGAATAAGGGGGGTGCCTGGGTAAGGAATTCACCTCCCCTGTCTATGTGCCCCTAGGTTAGATAATTGTATAAACTCTGTAAACTGCTCCGAGTCTACGGAAAAAGGAGCGGTATAGAAATCTAATATGTATGTATGTAAAGTAAAGGCATAACCAGAATTTTAAGGTCGATAGCCAAGCTCTGGTCACTAGGAGGTGCTGTCCTGTCTCCAGGCACATGGCTGCATAGTTTACACAATTTAGCACTCCAAGGATATGCTGCAGAAACATTGGTGCTTTCTGCATTTGCCTGCCGCTCTGGATTTTCTTAGTGTTCGAGTCGAGGTAAATTAAGTCCATGGCAAAACCGTATCCAAATAACCCGGGGCAACAGCAGGCTAAAACCGGGCTGACCACTGAAGGGAGGGAATGTAATGCAGAATGGGGGGAAATCCTGGAATAAAAAGAAGGTTGAACTCGATTTTAGTGCAAAATGAGGGGGGGGGAAACGTGGATTAAAAAGAAGGTTGAATTCAATAGTGCAGAATTGCTTGGAGGACTCCGTGGTGAACATGAATTAAAAGGAGAGTGCAGAAAGGGCCCGTGCCTGGATCTGCTCGCCATGTTGATTAAAGCAGCCAATCCAGGCAGGGATCCCATTAAGTATTTGGGATACAACTCTGGCATTGAAGACTCACCCAGTCGCAGGGACATCAAGTCCAGCATCCTGTTTCACCCAGTGGCCATCCCATTGCTCTAGAGAGCCAACGAAGAGGGCACAGAGGCCAAGGCCTTTCCCTGACGTTGCCTCTTAACACTGGTATTCACAGATTTGCTACCTCTGAATGTGGAAGTTGTTTTTACTCACCATGGATTACAGTCATTGCATCATACTGATACTGTAGTGATTGGGAGAGACTCAATGAGCAGGTGGTGAGAAAAATGTGCCTGGACTGATTGGTATTTTAGAGGGAGTGAATCCAATTGTAATGGATGTAGTGGAGCTGGCTTTTGCAGAGTAGCTTTAGGGTGCTCATGGACCCAGTCTTCCTGTTTGAAAAGCAGGCTGGGTATTGTGGCCAAGTAGGTAACCTTCCACCACCACCCCCATGCTCAGTGAAGCAGAGGGAGCAAAATGGAGGGGGGCAGACTGTGCATGATGCCATGATGTCCCTTCTGGTCACAACCCTGGAAGTAGTGTTGCAGCATTGCATGACGTTCTAGGATTTCCCCAAATCTCTATGGTAAAAACCATAGAGATTTGGGAAGTTGCTAGAGCATTGCATGACACCACAGCATCCCTTCTGGGTACGTAACTGGAAGTGATGTTGCGGCATCTCCAGTTTCATGAGTCTCCTCCTCCTGAAGCTGGCAACCCTATGGCCAAGAGTGCCTTCTATCAACTGTATCTGGTTCACCAACTCTCTTGTTTCTTATACACAGTTGAGCTCATCATGCTGATCCACCCTTTTGTAACCCTGCTGATGGACTGCTGCTACATGCTTTATGCTGGGCTGCCTTGAAGATATCCAAGAAACTTCAGCTGCCTCAGAATGCAACAGACCAATCAACGGCTGCGGTCACGCACACTAAACAATCCACTTTCAGTGCATTTTCCAACTGGGTTTTGCCAGTTCACACAGTAAAATCCAGTTGGAAAGCACACTGAAATTAGGGATGCCAGCCTCCAGGTGGGACCTGGAGATCCCCCGGAATTACAGCTCACCTGCAGAATACCAAGATCAGTTCCCCTGCAGAAAATGGATGCTTTGGAGGGTGGTCTTGATGACACTGTACCCCACTGAGGTTCCCTCCCTCCCAGGTCTCCATTCCCAAATCTCCCAGCATTTCCCAAATTGGATCTGGAAAATTTACCCCCCCACACACCCCCGCCAATGGCCGGGGGGGGGGGGGGGGGGCTGGCAACCCTAACTGAAAGTGGATTATTTAGCGTGTGTGACTGCAGCCAAACCTAGCCAATAGGAACATATCTTGACTATCTTAAAACAACTAAATCCGGTACTATCCATGGAGCTATGACCGTTAAAGCCCTGGCTTACTAAATGTTAGTAATATGTGTGCAAGATAATTTCCAGGTGGATCTTGTTAAATGTTTTTGTTAAATTCTGTGTCATTTGAGTTTTCTTTCAACAACTCTCAACAAAATAACACCCCCCTCCAATCAATGGAGTTAGACTGGAATAACTCCTACAGAGGATTACACGGCTAAGGATCCAATCCGATATGCACTTGCCTGTGAACAACACCTGGGGCACTTACTTTGGAGTAGACATGTCTAGGATTGCACTGATTGTTAACAGGAATGTAACACTACTACATAAACCTTTGCATGTTTACTGGGTATAAATCCCACTTTGCCCAATCGTACTTACTTCTAAGTAAATGTATTCATAGCCAAACAGGTAGGGTTGCCAGCTCTGGGTTGTGAAATATCTGAAGATTTTTTGGGGGAGCTTAAGTGGGTTTTGGGGGAAAGGAGGGGCTTCAAAGTAGTACGATGCCATGTAGTCCACCTTCCAAAGCAGCTGTTTTCTCCAGGTGATCTCTATCTTCTGGAGATCAGTTATAATCCCAAGAGATCTCCAGCCACCACCTGGAGATAGGCAACTGCTCGTAGCCGAGAAAGAGGTCAGGCTAGGCCCTCTTGGTTGCCAGGCGACCTGCCTCACACGCGCCTTCAGCGCAGGCGCTCGACTTCTCACCCTTTCCCCCCTGCAAGGCACACAGAAACACGGTCCGAAATTCTTCCTCGGGGGCGCACGCGCAGTCTATAGTGCACTTTCCCCGAGGAAAGTGCGTACCAATAAAGCTTCAACAAGGGGGAGGGGTTTTCCTTCGCTCCACCCCCTTGTTTCAGGAGGAGGCAGGGGGTGGCCGGGAACCAATCAGATCCTTCGCGTGAGGTTCTCCGAGAGCGGTGGAGGCGGACGGAGAGGGGTTTTTTTTCTACCGTTGTTGAAACTTTATTGTTTCCCTTGACAGACAGCGTCCGCGCTGGGGGGGGGGGGATGATGCGCTGATTGGAGAAAACGGAGGCGCCCCCGCTACCTGGGACGATTCAGCCAGGCCGGCCTCGCCATGTCAGGCAGCCGGCAGCCCCCGCACCACCCCGCGGCCGGGTCGGTCGCCACAGGCCCTCCCGGATCCTCCTCCTCCTCCGTCGCCGCGTCCTCAGTCACCACTTCGGCCTCTTCGGCCACCGCGACGGCGCCGGGCTCCTCCACCTCGGCCGGCCCGGGGGTCCCTGCGCGGCCTGTGCTGGTGGCGGCCGCCGTCTCCGGCTCTTCCAGCGGGGGCCTTTCGCGCCTGGCGGGGCCGGGTGGGGCCGGGCC